ATGATACAGAAGTTATGAGCAAACGTTACATAACAATCAGAATCTGCCAAGAGTTGGGACACAGAGATCAGGTTGGTCTGAAGCCCAGGAACGTATAAGACGTTTGACATTCTGAGATGTGGTCCAAGAGAAACAGAACCTGATTCAACATACTAAACATTTCGGCCATCTGGAAGAACCACTGTGCAGGGCGAGATTGGAGACATATTGATCAAAACAGATTTAATGCCCGTCATGTGTTGAGAGCAGCCGGTGTCTAAAATCTAGGAGAGAACAGAATTCTTACCAGTCATTATGTCGGGACAGTCGGATTTGCCGGCATTGAGCAAATTCATCAATGATTTCCATTGGTCCTCTGTTATGCCGGCGACAATATCTTTGTCGACGGAATGAACAGTGCCAGACGATGAAACAACAGCAGAGTTGGTGACCTGAGTTGAGTTAGCTGGGACAGGAGGAGTGCTGCTGCGATCTTCCGATGGTGGGGGCGTAGACATTCCACGACCACATCCTGTTCTGCTTCGGGGTCTGTCACCCCACCATTCCGGGAAACCAATTAGCTTGAAGCAGCTGTCAGAGGGGTTGCCATGTCATCCACAATTTGAGCAGACCACAATTGCATCCTTCTCAACAATCTTGGGCTTGGGCTTGGGCTTTGGTATAGACCGAGCAGAGAATGCTGAAACCTCAGTCCGTGCTTCCAAAGAATGCGAGATGTTTTGGGTGTCTTCTTCCTGAATCACCGTGTTGTGAGCTTCCTCAAGGCTTGGTAAAGGACTGCGAGAAAGAAGATTTGATCGAACATTGCCATATCTCATCTCATCAAGGCCGATGAGAAATTCGAATAGTCGATCTTCATTTCTGTCTTTTTCGAGGGCTGTAGCAATATCACAAGAGCATCTTCCACAAGTGCAGACCTTCAATGTTCTGAAATTAGACAGATCATCCCAGAGTTTAGTAAGCTTTCCGAAATATGACTCAATCGTCATTCCATTCTGTTTGCAATTGGCCAAATCGCTTCGAATTTTGAGGAGACGAGGGGCTGTCGTCTTCCCAAATCCGCGTTTCAGGTAGTTCCAGAGATCAGTTGCAAATTCACGATGAACGACATCCGTCCGAAGATGTGGTTCGAGTGTGTTCTTGAGCCACGAAACAATGAGAACATTGTTCGTATCCCAATCCTCAAAATCCATGGAGTCCGTGTTGGGTTGAGGAATAGTTCCATCAACAAACCCGAACTTTTTCCGGGATTTTAGGGCTTGTCGGATATTAATTGCCCATTCGTCATAGTTATTGCCACACAATAACGGCTGAGAGAGAATCAATCCAGGATTGTCACTCGGAGTAAGATCGTAGGGTGAGATCGTTCATCGGGTTATGGTAGCATTGTCACGGGCGTTCGTCATCGGGGGGTCAGGATTCGTTGTCGGAGTCGTGTTCGGTTCGGTGGTTTGGTGTTCGGCGTCGGAAGACATTGGATCGAAGGGTTAAGACGGTGTTTTTGGTGGGTCGTACTTCTGATACCATGTTACGTATCGAGCAAGGAGAGTTTTAGGAGTGAAAACGACTTGCATTATCGATTGTATACATTCCAATATATACAGAGCGTTAAGAGATTAACCTAGCTACGAATTAGGAAACACAATCTGGTAGCATAACAAATTCCCGTTATATGAGATATACAATATCTTGCCCAATATTACTCACATCTAATAAAATATTTTATAAAAAAACTAATGAAAGATTTAATAGATAAATATAAAAAGAAAAAGACTGATATACCCCTTTTTTAGGAGTTGTTGCTCATTTGTGAATGCCTCAAAACAACACAAGATTCATACTTAAATCCAAAATTAAACTACGGAAAAAATTTGGGGTGGGCGTTTCGGAAAACGGTTCGAGTTCGGGATGAGAATGCATCAGTTCGGTTTTTTCGGTTTTACAAAAATAGGTACCAATAAGTTTTTATATTATGTTCGGTTCGTTTTCGATTCAGTTCGGTTTGGTTCCGATTTTTATTTTAAAAAGATAGATTTTCTTTAAAAATTTTCGGTTTTTCGGGATTTTTTAAAATTCGGTTCGGTTTCGCAAAATTCGATTTTCTAAAAAATAATACCGTTCGAAAATTTAGAACGGTTCAAATCGAAAAAAATACCGTATTTTTGGTTACCGAACCGAAACTTTCACCCTTAGAAAAAACAGTAATAAGTGAAAAAATTCTGAACACAACAGTAAAAAAGCTGATTATTTACAAAAAAAAATCATTTGAATATATGAAAGAACGTCATGTGGACTTCTCAGGCTGAAATATTTATGTTAAAGCTTTTTATGCCTAAAATAGATTCTAACAAATATACGAATTTTGGGTTATTGCTTACTCGAGATTATTATATAATTAAATAAACAAAAAAATGTTAAAATTACGGTAAGCATAATCATTTGGACGGTTTGAAAAATTCAAGCAAACAAAACGTGCAGTCTTATTGCTTTTTGATATATATAATTTTTTATTTATAAAAATTGAGAATTAGATTCCACTCGCGGACCCACCACTGTCTTGTCCAAATCAAATCCAAACACAGATCCAACACGTGCAGATTACATAATATTATATACCTACATACATATACATATGCGTGTAAATGTGTGTATGTATATTTGCGTGTGTCTGTTCGAAAGTATCACACACCAATGAATGTGGGGCCCAACGTCTTTTAACGGTGCCAAAAAAGATATTATTTTTAATAGGAAAAACAAATAGTTTATTAGGGTAGTTTGAATAGCTTTTCATCAAAATAATTATTTAACGAAGACAATTATAAGGGTATCCGAGATTTCTTTAATATGATACGCGATTACATTAAAAATAATATATCATTCTTTAATATGAAATGCGATTAAATTAAAAATATTATTCGCTAAAAAATTGTGTAAACTACAGATCTATATATTTTTTAGTATATTCAAAACAAATAAGATAATCGTTCATAAAATATACACACTTATTTGACGATGTTAACGATAAATAAGATAAACACACAATTCTTAAAAAAATATTTTAACGATATATAAATGATTGAAATAAAAGTTCAATAAAAACATGTACTAAATTAGCGCAAGGGCACGCATTAATTGGAAAAATAGGGTCGAACACATGAACTATAACTAAACCAGAAATTAAATCAAGATTAGGCAAAATGAAAACAGTTGAGTGCAAAGAATATAATGTAATAACATTCCAAGTTTTGGGATCTGCCTTAACATGAAATACTGTTTCTTGAAATACAAACGATATTTATATTCAATTCGAGAAATTCAATCTCTTATATAAGAATTGACTTTCTCAAGATTTAATTTCACTACTTGACCATTCAAATGTCTAGTTAAATAATCTCTATGTTATAAAGAACGTTATCACAACTCTTAAACTCATTAACCTATCTTCCAGTAATATTAACCAATTCATCTATGAATTTGTTCCAAAACCTAATATCAATTTTAATGTATCTTGAAATAAAAACCAAACAAATCCCCTTAGACTTGATCCCTACCTCGCAACTAAATGACTACTTGCAATCTATAGAGATAAACAAGTTCAAGGTAAAATAGAAAAACATCTTATAACCTCTTTTTATACGAAACTTATCTATGCGATATCTTATTCGAACGATATCTATTATCCCTACAAAACTTACACTACTAATTCTTTATCTTTATCACCCTAGAAAAACATGTAACTATTTATACATATATCAACTTTTTATAAGAGATTTTTAAAATTTTTAAAATAACCTCTGCACCGTAAAAAGATTTCGAAATTTGGTTATTTTCAGGTAAATACTAACGTAAAGTTTAACAAAAGAAATCCATGCAACCCTCTGTCATATTGTCATCTGTTTTTGTGTTCATCAATTTAGATACAAGAAACAAACAAGATTGATCTTTTATACGCGTGTAAGAGTCTTAAATTTATAATTCAATCCACGTCTTACCTTACCGCAAGAAGACAGATCATCATAATACGAAGCCGAACACAAGGACCGATCGCTAGACTAAGACTCAATCGAAACTAAATCATCAAACAAACAAGTATGATGTATGATGATGGTATGAAACGGACACTAAAAATATAGAAATAAAGCTGTAAAAAAAATAATCAACTAAATCTGTGGAGATTCGTATTCAAATAAATGAATATTTACTAAGCATGCAAAAACTATGATAATCGAATTTGTATTAAAAAATGTCAAACAATGAAAACATGGAAATCATATTTCGACAAAGAACTCATTATCTAGAATTCTTAAAACCCATATTCCTATGAAATCTATCGAAACTTAGATGCATAAAGAACAATATTATCAATTCTAATCCGATTATACCATACAAACACCGTCATGGTCATGATTGAAAATTGTTATCAATTTATATTAATTTAGTAAATTGTTGAATTATAAATTTAGGTATTTATATAATATATTTTGAAAAGTTAGGGGTAAGTATATGAGATTTTCAACATAAAAGTGATGATTACCTGCAAGCTTAAAACTAAAGAGTCATTCCAACTTTCCTTTAAAGGAACAGTGTTTAAGCACCTAATGATTAATCAAGATTCCTTCATTTGTAACCAGATCTCTCTATTAGTGATTTCGCGATTTGAGTCACCGTCTTCACCAGCCAAATAAACACCGGTTCGCCCGAATGTTTCGGGTGTTTGCCAACCCACAAATTCCGAATCCTAAAATCCAAACTGTGCAGGTGTCTCAATAATCTTGTACACCCCTAAATCTACCTATGATTATCGAATTTGGGTCTCGTCGACTATCGATGAACCATCGAGTCTTCCCGAGCGTCGTTCTACGATCAACGTGAGGGATTTCAGGCTGCAACCTTTCCATACGACAATGGCAGGCCAACCGATAAGGTCTGCCTCGTAAGATTGGATCTAAGCCTAGGTCGGTGTTCCTATTCATTCTTCCTCCACATTTGTCATAAGAACATACAAGGAAAAAATCCGCAGCCTATTTATAACGCCTCACATGACACAGGACAAGACTTAGCGAACTTATTATACATATTTCATAATTTTTAGCTACTCATTATCAGTAAGCAGTGGTTGGAATTTCCTCCATGATTGTTCAGACCATCTAGTTTCCCTATACGTACACGATACTTGATATATACCAATAGTTTGAGCTTACCTTGGAGACATCATTCCACACTTGTCGGAAGTCTTGTAACTCGAAATGCTTCCTTGGTGTAATTCATCTCTCTCACAACTGGTGATTGGAAGCTCATATGGATCCCACAAGATTCACCTTTCCAAAGCTGAACATGGATGTACATGCACGCGTATGGAGTATACAAGTATTCATATTTGTCGCTTACCGATCCCTGAACTCGTTCCCGAAACATGATCTTTCTTCTCCATTCCAGCCAATGGTTCATCCTGGTCTGAACTGCACACTTGTCTTGGCGGAGGAGCAGAACAGACCGGTGTAACTGATCTTATTCTTACAGGTGGTGCCCTAAATTTTGGATGAACCACCCCGAAGTTTATTCGTTCTGGCCTAGACATAGCTGAACATGAATGCGAGCCCGTTTTCATTCTTGCAGGTGCAGAGGCAAAGCTTGGTGAGTTCTGAGGTGGAGTCCTGCAGATTGTGGAAAATGATTGTGGCCTGAAACTTGGACCTGAGGATGAAATTGGCTTTGGTTGGTGACGTGGTCTTGCATAATTCAATCGTAGATTTCTATCAGAAACCACTGAAACCCGCTCCACTTGTTGAAATTCTTTCCCACTAGATCCATAGATTTCCACTTTGTTCTCCGACTCGACAGCCTTCTGATTGTTGTCTCCGACAATAACTGATCCTCTTGAATGAGTTTGTCCCACGCTGGGATGAGGAGAAACTGGGTGTTCTGACACTGATACTGAAAGAGAGGATCCAGATGTTTCTTCCGCTTTCTCCTCGTGTATCTCTTGAATAGTCACTGTGGACTGGTTTCTAATAGGTGAGTTAAAAAACATGCCGGAAGAGGCAATAGAAATTCTTGAATGTGGTTCCTCAACCCCTGCAAGATACAGGCCATGATCCGGATGAATGATAGAATAGGCATAGCTATGAGGAATCAATGCAGGTGATGTTGGTGAAGGGAGTCTCAACGGATGGCTCTGAAATTGTAAGTAATGTTGTTGCTGCCACATTTGGTAAACAGCAAAACCTGGAGCATAGTTCGGGTATGCCCAAGGTCCAGCATGCATAGGATACAGACTTGGTGGGTTTAGATCTCTGGACACAGGTATAGGACTGTGCAGTTTACCCAGGCAGTTGCTTGTTGCAGCAGATTTTGATAGCAAAGATGCAAGTGCACGAGCAATCACAACTTGGTCTTGTTCTTGATAATCTTTGGATCCTGATGATGAGGAAAATGCAGAAACTGAAGTAGATGAGTCCTGCTGAGCCACTACATTTGAAAAAGAGAAACAAATGATATGAGTCTAGAATCTGAAGGAATAAAACAAATAACGAAAACAAATAACTTCTGCTCTCTGACAGAGCCTTTAAGTGAGGACCAATCTTTTTGAGCCGATGAACATCCATATTGTCTTGTGCATGGCAATCAAGATCTTATACCCACAAAAACTTGTACGATGACTGAGAAATCCTTAATCAAATCATTTTACCATGTGAAAATGTAGAATTAAATGCCAAGACAAAACTCAGATGACCAAAAGTACAAGAAACACATGCATCTAGAAGAAGGTTCCGGATTATCATTCTAAACCTTGTAAACAAAACAAAACATACAGCGTTTCAGTGAAACCCAAGCAGTGATTGCTGCGTTCTTTTGTGCCTGTTTCTTTGTTCTTGCTGGCTCCCCCATGAAGCTCATTCCGCCAAGCTCAACTGTGCATGAAAAGAGAGGTACATGGCGTAGTCCTAGACGAATAGTTGTATATATGGGAAGGTTTAAACCAGCTCTATGGGCAGTCTCCTGAAGCAAATTCTTATAGACTCCAGTCTCATCCTGTTAGTGAACAATATATGATAACATTTAAGCCTTTCTCTTCTAACTGCATCTATATTTAAAGCATCGATTCACTAGTCGTAGTCGTCAAAACACCCACTGTCGTTATAAAGTTTCTTCAACCTCAACCACTTTATCTCTTGTGATTTCAAACTAAAGATATCCAAAAGGCAGGATTTACAATTATCTCCTCCACTCATTCTTTTGCACTCGTGATAATCCATTCTCCACTTAAGCAGTTAACCCTTAGTTTGGTAAGGCTCAAACCCTCATTTTTAAAACCTATGAGGCACATTGAGGCGCACCATGGGCATGCTTTTTAAAATCCAACTCACACCTATGAACCAATTGGCATGAGGTGTGGTTGTTGCTCAATAGGATTATGCATAAGTATATCAGAAAAATACCGTACTCATAATCCAGACTGTCACAGCGAAATAAACTTAGGAAACTTATCACCATTGCACAATCCGATGAGAAGAACCAAGTAATCTTGTAGTCTAATGAGAAGAAGAGATCAAGGAGCTAACCAGAATTTTGGCAGCCAATGCACGGGATGGACCTCTCTCAGCGAGCGTGTTAAGGGCTACTTCAGCAGCAGCGTGTTCTGCTTGCCTTAGAGTTGAGCAGAATGTTGGGCTCTCGAAAGTCTCTCCATTGAAGTTTACAGTTGCTTTGAAACGAGGAGCGTGATCTGGTCCCTCTCGAATACATGAATAAGACGGAAAGTTGAAGCAGCTTCTCTGTGCTAATTCTTGTAGTTGATTTTTGTACATGCCTACCATTGGAATATATCACAGAGTAAGATTCGACACAGATCTTCAACCCATATATTTCGGAGATCAAGAATCATTGAACTTTCAACTTTTCTCCAGTTTCCAATTACCCAAAGGGCATCAACTTTCTAGTTTCCATTGCTGAATTTTAGATAATCAGGAGGCGTAAACAATTCAGACTGATGAAATTGTGCACATTATATCACCAGGAACTCGCATAATGCAGACAGAATACACAAAGTTTATAGCTTATTATCAGTTCTCTCATTAATTCCGCTATAGATCGACACAAAACAACCTTCAGCAGACCAGCAAAAACCATCCCCCAACCAAAGCACGAGGACGAAAGAAAACGAACAAAGCATGCCCTAGAAAATCAGTTGCTGAGTCGAAACGCCATAAATCGCCAAAAAAAATAATATCAGAGATGAATTATTCCCAAACTATGCACGCGGCTACAAATCTAAGCAACTAAGAGAAGAATGAGAAGACATCGTAGGCCAGATTTACTAGCTGAAATGACTGACCTGGTGACACCGCGAGAATTTTCCCGAGAAAATGACGGAATGGGAAAAATTGCTTCCGCTTAGAAAGATAACAACAATCCTAGCGATTAAGCAGTGAGAATCGCCACTTATTTCCCACTCGTGAAAATTTTCTCCCAAACAGTTTCTTTTTCTTGTCTGTTTCTATAAATCCATCGAAATCAGGGAACTTTTTATTGCTTTGGGAAATATAGGACTGTTCTTGTGAACTCTGAATTCTGCAGGGGCCTATCATTAATTTTCAAAACAATGAACACACGGTCTTTCCTCGATGCAACACAAAAAAATAAATATTTTTTCGGTCTGAGAATTTTATTTTAAAAAAAACCAAATTTCCGCTAATGTGCCCAAAAAAATAATCTTCGCAAAAGTACAATTTTTCTTTAAATAATTGCATTCTATATTCTTAAAGCGTAAATTGATCAATAAATCTTCTAATGAAATTGACCAAAATACCCCAACAGACGGAATAAAAAAAGGAGGAATTTTGTAACCTGTTTATCGCACGAAATCTCTCCAAATTGGATAGAAAATAAAAAATAAAAATCTCAATTCAAATTTAGATATTTTAGAATAATCACTTAGAATATGTGTTAGTTACATAATCATATTTGTTAGTTACATCACATGCACAATTTCTGTAAATGGTTTGACATATTCCCACCGATTCTAAAAACCTTATAGGGTTTACGGACAGTGGCGCATCTACATATAAGTATATGGAAACACGTACCGCCATTTAATCAATAAAATCTTTAAAATTTTGAATAAAACTATGAAATATCCGCTATAAAATTAAGTTTGGTCATAATAAAATTCAAATTGCCCCCAATTATAGAATTCTCTAGATCCGCTATTGTTTACGGAAAGAATCCAAGATGTCATAGTAGGTCGTCTTTTCTAGGGTTGGGCATTTAAACCCGTTACCCGCGGGTAAGCGGGTTCCCGGTCTCATGGGTATCCGAAAAGCGGGTACTCGACATCTAACGAAGACGAAAACGAGTATTAAAAACTAGAATACCCGTCATATGGATACGGGTTCAGGTTTTATATATTGAAATAACGGGTACCCACGGGTACCCGCATATATATTAAAATTATAAAATTAACCTTATATTTTTAATATAATTTCTAAAATACTTAGGTTATTTTTACTTTTATTTAGGATTATATATTGAATTTTCAAGTTTTGATAGATTCAACTTCAAATTATTGTGTATATTTTAAAATATTTCTAGGATTCTATGCATATTATTATATTTTTAGAATTTTTAAACTTAAAAATATATTTTTGGAATAAAATATGTATATTTTTATTGATTATTTGGTTTAATTTTATATTGTTTAATATTTTTTATACGGGTACGGGTACTCGCGGGTATCCGTCTTTTAGTTATGGGTACCCCTTGGACGGGTACCCGGATATTATGAGATAGAGACAGAGATAACTGTTGGTTGTGATGCTCTAGGATGATCCGTGATATGACATTTTGACTTTGTATTGATTCATTGATTTATGAATGCATTACTTTTCCCGTTATATGATTAGCATGTTTGTTATATTACGGTAAATATCCTTGAATCATTGCAGATGATTCTAAATTCCCTGGTCAGTTATCATTGTGGGAACAATGATGAATTAAGACCAGCATGATGTGTGATAGATGATTATGATCATATGCATTAGATGCAAATCACAATCATGGGTTCTCATTTGGAACGAGTTACTGGATGACCCGCATGAGATTGTCACATGGACACGAGTCATGACTTGAATCTCATACAGCGGTTCGTTCTTGGATCCTCAGACCTGAGATGTCTAGAGTATCTGATATGAGGAGTGACGTGTCTTGACTGCGTCAAACGTCGTCTTTAACCGGATGATCATAACGGCGTTGCTCAGATACGTTCACGAATCATATGCAGATAGTAGACATGCAATACGGGACTTGTCACCTCCTACGCAGGAGAGATGTCGCTGGGCCCCTCGTGGAAATCGGACTGTGAAAATGCGTGGCCACGCTATAGATGAATGTACATCTATTTTATCAGTCGGTTTGCCTAGACGAGTAAGCGGTTGAACTTGAAGGGTGGCTCGAACCATGCCCTTGTTCAACATACGACATCGTGAGACAAAGGATCAGAACTCGAACTATTGCTGGCTTTGTTAGATCACCTCTAACTCTATTCTAGGTGGGTGGTCATGGCGTCTTGCTAGAGGCTAACCATGACTTGTGGTTCGGGAAAGGTTTCCGAAGCCACTGCCACTTCGAATGGGCCTACAGGGTCACACACCATTAGGGATAGATCACACGTGAAGAGAACAACGCGAGAAAAGAGCGACGGAGCGATCTGGAAGAGTTCCAGATGGCCAGCTATTTAGATCTGGTAGAATTCGCCAAGAGCCTACAAGATACGGATTTCTTGTGACTGGAAACGA